GGGCTTATATAGGGCCAAACGGGCCTTGAGGCGAAAGGCGATAATTGCAATGATGACACCCTGCTGTATAGAGTTACATTGTATTTGGTGGTCTTAATCCGAGGAACCCATATCCTGGGGGAATGTGTGACTAGGTGACACAATGCACCTTCTGATGGGTGGGGGCATGTGAGACTGAGTGGCACAGTACAAACATTACACCTTTGATGGCTGAGGGTGCTTGTGACTGGGTGACACAGTACACCTTTCGATGGCTTGGATGATCTCATCAGGGAAATCCCATACGCAACTCTCCTGGACTATCTGGGGGCTATGTATGCATTAAGGATTAAGGGTGGTCTGCCCAGGCCATGGGCACAGAGGACTTTTGCCTCCAATTCCACTGTCAGAGTTCATCTGGAGGTCATCATGGAATTTCATATTTTTGGTAGCAGGGGCACTATGGGTAACATATGGGGTTTTTCATATTTTGGATATTAAGAGCACTACGGGTAACACCTGAACCATCTGAACCTGCTCCAACATGTATATATCCATAAAATGAGGGACCCTCTGTTTGGTTTTGTTCTTGCTTATCTTATATGAAGTTTAATACAAGAGTGGGAAACCTTTATATAATTCTTTAATGCAGGAGGACTCTCTAGATCAGGGGTAGGCAACCTTTCCCCTTTAAGGGCCGAGGGACTTCAGCTCCCAGAAGCCTCAGCCATGTTGGCCAATAGTCCCATGTTGGCCAATAGCTCCTGGGATTCTGGGAGCTGAAGTCCCTCGGCCCTTAAAGGGGAAAGGTTGCCTACCCCTGCTCTAGATGCTGCTGCAACTCTCATCATTACTCAACATTAGCTATACTAGCTAAGGCTTCTGGGACTTGAAGTTCAACAATATCTGGAGGGCTACATGATTCTCACCTCTGTTTTAATGTTTTTATTGAACATATAGTGCCTGATAAGAATAAAATAAAAAATAACATTATTTATTAATTAAATAAACTAATCCAGACATTGAAATGGTTTTGAATATTCAGTGCTCAACTTTGGTAAGGTTTGATTTAAATCAAGCTTGTATGTATCATAGAACTGAATAACTGATCCCTCCAATAAAAACGAAGCCTTGGTAGATACCTCTTCACTGAATTGTAATATCAAAACATTTCACATGGAAACATAGGATGGCAACTTGCATCAAATCAGACCATAGGTCCATTGAGTTTTCACTGACAGTGACACTTCTGTGATTCAGAGAGAGATCTTTCCTGACCCTTCCTGAATATGCCATGGATTGATGCAGGGATCTCTTACAGTCAAAGCAATTGCTCTGTTTATAGCAGTTGCTGTAAAAGACATGACCTTGCTCATAAATTTTGACCACTCGCAAACGCAACAATAAAGTGAAGAAAAAAGACATTAAATTTCTTATGACAAATAGAACTAAAGCAGAAACCATTCAGGTAGAATACAGAACTTTCTTAAAGCAAAAGAAATGTATTTAAACAAAATTGCCCCTGGCAGTAATTCTGTTTATACTGGCCTTTCTGTTACTTCCTCACCATCATATTACGGCCTCATACAGGTGGATTTTTTATGTTTTTTTTAAAAAAATGCAAAAATGTATTATTCAATCTCTGTTTGTGAGAAGAAAAATAGAAACAAGTCTGTTCTTCAGCGTTGTGGTGCTATATGGATCAATTGCCCTCATTACCCTCCTTCTATGCCTCCCATGCTGTATATACTTGACCATAAGTGGTCCTCATGTATAAGTTGAGGGCAGGTTTGGGGGGCAAAATTATGGATTTTGATGTAACCTGTGTATAAGTCAAGGATAAAACATAGGGGCATGTAACAAAGGATGTAAAAGATGAAAGAAAGGGAAATAATACCAAAGCTCACTGCTATTTTCCCATCCAGATATTCAAAAGGGCCAGAAGTGGCACCACAGTGGAGAGAACAGAGAGGCTTGGTATTTCTTTTAGGTTCTCCCAGAATGAACTAAGCTCTTACCTTTCACCTCTCTACTAGAAGAAGGGAGACGGCTCCTTGTTTGATAAGAGTTAAAGTACGGTACTTACATTGACTCATGGATAAGTCGACCCAGGTTTTTTGGGTTGATTTTTTGACTAAAATTTCTAGACTCATACATGAGTATATACTGCAAGTGGTTGTCCACTGTGAGAAATAAGATGCTGAATAGAACAGGCTTTGGGTCTGATCCAACAGGGTTCTTAAGAATATATCGAGAAAGTTCAAACAAGGAAATCATGTCCTTTTCTGGGTGGGGTGGGAGAGCTGGAAATCTATATAACTATGTGTGTGTGACATGGGATGGAGCTAGCTTTGCTTCTTCAATATACTGCATCTGGTGTGCCCTGAATGTATGACTAGGACCTGTCTGTAAAATTATTTTCCTAAAGAAAGCTTGGGAAGAATCTGACTAAAGTGAATGCACTTTAAAATCTCCTGATTTCAGTAGAAGATTCCCAATGAAATTGTTTTCACCTTTGGTTTTAAAGTCAAATTAAGAGTGCTTTTTTTAAAAAAAAAAATCCAGACTGCATAACATTTCATGATAGCTGCAAGCCAACTCATGGTAACCTTACAGATCATGTCCAGCTGGGCTCAAGGTGCATTTCTGAGATCCTTAAGTGTTCTTATTATAAGCAACTCCTCTGATGCTTCCAGGCTGGTGGGGGCAGGGGAGGAGAGAAGCAGTTTCTTGCCAAAGCATTTCCCTACACCCCTAAGTTCAGTGCACCAGCGGGTATGATTTATGCCACACTTTGGAGTCACAGGAGCGCAAAATGTCAAGATAAATTGACTCTTGTCTGGGGACCCTGGGATGCACAAACTCTTAGGCAGAGCTGATGTGCTTTTTAGTATGTTCTCTGTAAAAAAATAATAAAAAAAATTAAAAAAATCTTCCCTGGGAGAACATCCATGCCAAGTTCCAAGAGTACTAGGGATTTATAATGGATTTTTAAAAGTAGCAACTGTAATCACTGGAGCTATAATTTTAAACAAAGTGACAATGCTGAACAAATAGACTGTCCTCAAAGGCATTCCTCACCTGTGAACACACCACTGACAGGTCTCAGAAGGTGCCTGTTGAAAGGGCTTCCTAGCTTTATATTAGACCACCTGGTCCACAGCGCAGCTGAGCAGAAGTATAAGAATTTGTGAAAGGAAGGTTGATCCAAATATTCCCTGACTAAATTATAGTGGACTTCACATTGAACTGTGCCACATCTATTTTCATATGGGAGGGAGAGGAATTTTTTTTGTTGAATCAATCCCAGTTTGAAAAGCACAATCTTTGTCAAAGTATATCATTTCAGAAATAGTTTGAATGGTATTATTGAACTTGAGGGGGAACATTTTGTCACAGAGCACAATTCTCATATAAGGAACAGTATAGTTTCATGAAAGGCCTGTGCCACTGCAGCCACATTTGTGGGATTATACTGGCAAACTGAAGTCCAAGTAATTTTATTTAACCTCAGTATCAGCCCTGAATAAAGGGTAGTTTAATTTGATGTATTTCATAATGGGATTTTAAAAAATCAGAAATGACTCTTTTTCTTAACTTAACTCTTTTTCTTACTGTGTGTCAAAACATTAAAGACTTTTTACATATAAGACATTTCTAAATCATTTTAGCTACATAGTGTAGCCAGTATTGGCATGTGATTGCCTGAGATTCCAAAGTGCATGTTTCTGTTGGAAAATATGAGAGAGTACTGGATCCCTTAAGCAGAGTAATCAA